TAAGGCCAGGAATGAAGTCAACACAAAACCCGATAACATCCTCTGTTTGATGGCCCATGGAGATGCTTCCTTCTGGCCTAGTGCGGTTACGGACATATTTCTTTAGGACTCCCATGAACCTCTCAAAGGGGAACATATTGTGTAGAAATACGGGCCCTAGGATGACAATCTCGTCGACTAGATGAACTAGGACGTGCGTCATGATATTGAAGAAGGATGGTGGGAACACCAGCTCGAAACTGACAAGACATTGCGCCACATCACTCCTTAACCTTGGTACGATTTCTGGATTGATCACCTTCTGAGAGATTGCATTGAGGAATGCACATAGCTTCACAATGGCTAATCGGACGTTTTCCGGTAGAAGCCCCCTCAATGCAACCGGAAGCAGTTGCATCATAATCACGTGGCAGTCATGAGACTTTAGGTTCTGAAACTTTTTCTCTGGCATATTTATTATTCCCTTTATATTCGACGAGAAGCCAGTCGTGACATTCATACTGAGCAGACATTCAAAGAAGATTTCTTTCTCTTCTTTCGTAAGAGCGTAGCTGGCAGGACCTTTATACTGCTTCGGAGGCATGTTGTCTTTGTCGTGCAAACGTTGCAGGTCCTCTCGTGCCTCAGGTGTATCTTTTGTCTTCCCATACACGCCCAAGAAGCCTAGCAGGTTCACGCAAAGGTTCTTCGTCACATGCATCACGTCGATTGAGGAGCGGACCTCTAGGTCTTTTCAGTAGGGTAGGTCCCAAAATATAGATTTCTTCTTCCACATGGGTGCGTGTCCCTCGGCGTCATTCAGAACAGCTAGTCCACCGGGACTCTTTTGAAAGATTACGTAGTGTAAATCATTGACCATAGCAAGCACGTGATCACCGATGCGCATGGCGGGCTTCTTCCGGTGATCTGCCTCGCCTTTGAAATGCTTGCCTTTCTTTCGACATTGATGGTTGGTCGGAAGAAATCGACGATGGCCCAGGTACACATTCTTCCTGCATTTGTCCAGGTATATACTTTCAGTGTCATCTAAACAGTGCGTGCATGCGTGGTATCCTTTGTTTGTCTGTCCTGAAAGGTTACTGAGAGCGGGCCAATCGTTGATGGTCACGAACAGCAACGCCTTAAGGTTAAATTCCTCCTGTCTGTGCTCATCCCACGTACGTACACCGTTTCCATTCCACAGCTGTAAAAGTTCTTCAACTAATGGCCTTAGGTACACATCAATTTCGTTGCCGGGTTGCTTAGGGCCTTGGATGAGAACTGGCATCATAATGAACTTCCGCTTCATGCACATCCAAGGAGGAAGGTTATACATACATAGAGTCACGGGTCAGGTGCTGTGATTGCTGCTCTGCTCCCCGAAAGGATTAATGCCATCCGCGCTTAAAGCAAACCATACATTCCTTGGGTCCTTTGCAAACTCATCCCGGTACTTTCTCTCAATTTTTCTCCACTGCGACCCGTCAGCGGGTGCTCTCAACTTCCCATCTTTCTTTCGGTTCTCACTGTGCCATCGCATCAACTTGGCATGCTCTTCGTTTCTGAACAGACGTTTCAACCGTGGTATTATAGGAGCATACCACATCACCTTCGCAGGAACCCTCTTCCTGAGGGGCTCGCCGTCAACATCACGAGGGTCATCTCGTCTGATCTTATACCGCAACGCACCGCATACCGGGCATGCGTTCAGATCCTTGTATGCACCGCGGTAGAGGATGCAGTCATTAGGGAATGCATGTATCTTCTCCACCTCCAATCCTAGAGGGCATACGACCTTCTTTGCTGCGTATGTACTGTTGGGCAATTCGTTATCATTTGGAAGCTTCTTCTTTAATATTTTCAGTAGCTTCTCAAATCCTTTGTCAGCCACAGCATTCTCTGCCTTCCACTGCAGCAATTCCAGTATGGTACCGAGCTTTGTGTTGCCATCTTCGCAATTGGGGTATAACCCTTTTTTGTGATCCTCTAACATGCGATCGAACTTCAGCTTCTCCTTTTGACTAATGCATTGCGTCCTTGCATCGACAATGACCCGGCGGAGATCATCATCATCGGGCACATCGTCTGGTTCCTCTTGATCTTCAGCAGCTTCACCCGTGGCAGCATCATTGGGCACATCGTCTGGTTCCTCTTGATCTTCGCCAGCTCCCCCCGTTGCAGCATCACCGTATTCAGGGGGCACATAGTTGGCATTGTACTCTTCTTCTTCGCCGTCTTCCATCATAACCCCTATTTCTCCGTGCCTCGTCCAAACATTATAGTGTGGCATGAAACCCTTGTAAAGCAGGTGGGAGTGAAGGATTTTCCGGTTAGAGTAAGACCTCGTATTCCCACATTCAGTGCATGGACAACACATAAAACCATTCTGCTTGTTTGCCTCAGCCGCATCGAGAAACTCATGCACGCCCTTAATGTACTCGCGGGTGTGTCTGTCACCGTACATCCATTGCCGGTTCATCTGTGTGCATTATATATAATTAAGTGTCCAAATTAATAAAAGTTCATCATCACATTAAAACCAAAGTGCATACATAGTTCTCATCTAACAACATATAGCTCTCCAGAGCATCTAATTAATTAAACCATACATTGAAACTATGTAAAACATTTCAATGCGAAAACAAATGCGATCATAATCGCAACCAAGGTAACAATTGATCCAACGGCATAATGATACCAAGCCTCGGTATGAATGGCATATTTTCTAATCTTTCTAATCTTCAAGCGCATTGCATCCATCTTGATCTTGTGATCATCGACGACATCCGCAACATGCAACTCCAATATCATCTTCTCCTCCTCAATTTTTTTATTTTTTCCTTCAACAAATTGTTTTCTTCTTCAACTAAATTTAACCTCTCGACAATAGGGTCGGTTGGCATTTCCGATTCACATACATCCTAGATAAATAAAATCTATGTCACGTTGGTCGGCATAATTTTCATAAATAATAAATGAACCAATAGTTATAAAGATAATATACATACCAAATCCGAATCATAGACAGGACGAGGGCCGACGGGGGCGGATACCAAAACCATCGCACTATATAAGATGCAATAATAAATGTCAGAAAATGATACAAGTATCTATCTAAACATACAAGTAAGAATATTTTTCCTTTCAGAAAGAAGATATCCACGGGAACAAGCTTATAAATTGTTTTTCGTGTTAGTCGATGCTTATAAATTGTTTATTAATCTTCAACCTTTCAATCAATGCAAGTTGTAATCAAACCTTTTAATCATGTATTGTGATTGCTTGTTATATCCACGGGAACAAGCTTATGTCTATTGGTTGGTAAGTTTTTTGGCCAGAAGATTACTTCGTTATACTGAACTGTAGTTTCATCTTTTCTGTTCAGAATGAAAAACATTTGTCATAGCAACAAGCAATAGTTGGTCGATTGGATTAAAACCAGAGATGGTTTCTACATGTCTGCTTTCTCCTTCTTATCCTGTTTTTATTTATTTGATCTGTTGATTTCTTAGAGAAAGACCAACCCCTTCCATCAAATAATGCATATTATTAACTTGTTAATATTGAAAAGCTTCCAAATCTGCACACAGAGCTAGCCGGTGTCTTCGCCATGAATGTTCTTCTCCAGCTATATTGGCCATGCATATCCTTTAAAGTGTGGGATTAGTGAGTTGTCTTTGTTGGTAGTTGTACCTTTTGTTTTTATATGTGGAGGATAATCAACAAAATAGGTTTTCTCCTTTGATTTGGTTAGTCACATGTAAATTCGCTTCATGCACATCTGACAACATGCATCATCATATTTTGAATACAATTGTGATGAAAGGGGATAGAGGTGTAGGGGTGTGCGATGATTGACAAGGAGGAAATGGGAGAAACTTGATGTTTGTCCCGGCACGTTAGGTAGCAAAGCTTGCTGAACGCGAGGCATCATACTTGGAGAAGAATATTGTTTGCCACTGCCGCAAGAATCTAATGGTACACCTTTGTTACCATACAGTAGGACATGTGTTGAATTGCCACATGTCCTATATGATTGTCCATAGTAAGATGCCACCATCCACCGCTGGTGGTGATTGGCAACATGGTAGAGATCTGCTGGACACGCACATGACATTGGTGTCAGACAAAATGGTGGAGTGCATAACGGAGTTGCGAGACTGATGGGGAGTGATGGGGGGCCGGAAGGTGATGAACTGATGATGCAGCTGTAGTGGAGTGAGTTTTGGGCAGAGAGGTGAGGAGTGAGATTGTGTTCGCCCTTGAGGAAGGTGAAGATGGAGATGCCTATGGGGAGAAGACAACACCATAGTGGCTGTATAGGGGGGGAGTAGAGAAAGATGCCGATGTTTGCTGCTACACGGTTAAGAACACGTGTCTCACTTGACAAGTGTGTTAAACGAATAGAAGTATCACTTGATGAATACTTATAACTGGTCTCTTCAATATACAGAACTGAGTGATACCATGTATACTTTTATGGTTGCTCAAGTCTTGAACTTTGCATGCTAGGCTTAGTGCGATACCATGTTTTGTATAAACAAGGTATTTAAAGAGTAGATTTCTCTTCTTGCTTGGAGTTTGTTTTTTAAAATTTAGGCACTTGCTTGTACTACCTGATGGAATTGTTGACGTTTTTGTTTATTGTTCTACAGCCCAAATATTGTCGAACAATTGTTACCTGATGGAATTGTTTATTGTTCTACAGCCGAAATATTGTCGACCAATTGTTACCTGATGGAATTGTTGACGTTTTTGTGTTTTGTTCTACAGCCTAAATATTGTCTAACAATTGTTGATTTGGTTTGCTAGCCCATCCAAAGTGCACATCTTTGTCAAGAATCCCGCTGGCAGGAAAATCTGTCTCAGGGGGGGTCCACTTGACAGACACCCTTTACACCATCAAGGCAAAGATCCAGGAGCAGTACCGCCTCGTCTTCGATGGGGTGCAGCTGGAAGACAACCATACATTGGCAGATTATGGCATCAAGCATGATTTCACGCTTGACCTCCAAGAAAAGATGCAAATCTTCGTGACAGAGACGCTAGAAGGCAGGACCATCACTCTTGAGGTGGACAGCCTAGACACCATTGACAAGGTGAAGGCCAAGATCGAAAACACTGAGGGCTTCCCCAAGGTTCAGCAGTGCCTCATCTTTGCCAACAAACAGCTGGAGGACGGCAAGTGCACCTTGGCTGACCACAACATCTGTAAAGGGTCCACTCTTCTCCTCATCCTCCTCCCGTGTAGCCCGGATGTTGTGATGCCAATCTTCGTGAAGACGCCGCAAGGGAAGATCCTCACCTTTAAGGCTGGGAGCTCGGACACCGTCAACAGTATCATGGTGAAGATCTACGAGAAGAACGGCGTTCCCCCTATACAGCAGCGCCTCGTCTTTGCTGGCAAGCAGCTGCATGACGACCGCACCCTGGCAGACTACAATATTCAGAGTGAGGATACCCTTCATTTGGTGTTCCGCCAATGTGGTTGCTGAGCTGCATGGCCTGCCATTCAACAACCTGTTTTATTTTGCCGGTAGTGGTGTATTATCATCATTCTAGTACCTTGGTATTGCTCAATTCTAGTACGTTGATGTGCTGAGTAGTTCTTATATCTATTACTAATTAACTTGATTTAAGAATACAGTCTGCATGTAGTTTTGCCGACAATACTCATTTCCACATACTCAGTGCGGTTAATTCCTATGTTTATCCTTGTTTTTGCCATTACAGCCAAAAGTTGAAGCAGCCGGAATCCTAACGAGTAAAGTCAGTGCATGTCTTTTAGATACAAGATTTACTATTGTAAAGTCATTGCATGTCTTTTAGATACAAAACTTACTATGGTAAACGATCCGTTCCGGTTAACCAATGAAGTTCCTGTTGGTCCCCCGCGTGCGGTTGGATAGAGACACTCTTGGCCACACGTTTGGTGTGGGGTCCACACCCCGCCCTCCCATTCTTTATCTCTTCCAATGTGTGGGGTCCACACCCCGACCCTCCCATTCTTTGTCTCTTTCCACCCGCATCTCTCTTTCTCCTCGTTTCTCTCATCATCAGTCATGGGGAGCTCTTGCCCCGAGCTCGCTCTTTCCCCTCCTCTCTTTAGGGCATGGCCAATGCATAGCCTTAGAGCATCTCCAACAGCCGCACTGAATAAGCGCCGCATCGCAAATTTGTGCATTTTAGTGCTTCAGCGGACGCGCAATAAGCGCGCGCGGCATATAGAGTTCAGCGCGCAGTCCGAATCACCAGCGTGCGTCCGATTC